AAACTTACAAAAAGAAAGATAAAACAATAACAGCAAAGGCGCCACAAACTGAAAGTTTGATAAGCGTGTTTGATCGCCACAAGAACTAGAACAATTCTTGATAAAATCGATGGTTCAAGAAAAAACCCTAGTAGAGAGTTTATCTCACACTTTCAAAATTCTGAAATAATAATTTGCCCTTTTCATTCAATTTCAAAATTATAAATACTACTAGTTATTTCACCTCTGAGAGCACATAAAAGAAAACTAAATTCCTAGTATTTCAAGTATATATAACTTGCCTCAGTAGATACATGAGGTATAGTTAAGCTTGAGGTCCAAGGTTCAAATTAGGCTTATTTCATTATTTTACATTACAATAAATCATTATAATCATTCTCAGTCTAGACTAGCAATGCAGACCATCATTTTCTTCCCCATCTTAGCCTCCGTGGATTGGGCTGCATCATGCAATTGGGATTCCATCAGATTAATCACCATTTGGTCCAAGACTTCATGGGTCCTTTTAACTCTTTCTCTTGTCAAGGATCCTCCTAAGCCTTCTATTGAATCTTGGGCTTCCGTTTCATCATGGGTCTGGACTTTGATGTCTTCATCAATAAACAATGAACATTCTTAATTGAGGACTTACTTTACTAGGTGAAGGATATAACAATGACTTCTTCTCTCTTAAAGGAGAACAAAAGGCTAATAGTAATATAATTGTATTGCACTTGTTGTGTTGTGAATTCTTCAGTCAATGACCTTCTCCTTTTATAGACTTCAAGATGTGCTTATAGAATCCTTAGTCCAGAAACCAACCGGAGTCAACGTATTAATCCTTATCTCATAAAGGGATACTCACTTTGAAGGTTAGTCCAACCATAAAGTTGTCTGGGGCGGACCTGAAGGAGGAGAAGATAAACTTGACATTTTAGGAATTAAAAGGTAATTAAGGTTTAAACTTAGGAGTCCTTTTACTCTTGAAATATTGGAAGATTCATTATGGTCACTATGGAAGGCACCCACTATCAAAAATTTTGGAGGAGGAACCAATTTGGACGAGCATGTTCAATCTTATTTGACTTAAGTCAGTATATTTGGTTAAAGAAATGTCTTCCTTTACAGAATTTTTCGAATAACCTTAAAGGGACCTAAACTAATATACTATACTGGTCCACCTTCCTCAGAACGAACATCTCACATGATTTAATCGAACCATATCCTGATCCTCTAGTTTGTTTTGTTGGTGAGTGAGCTCATACTTGAAGTTTTATTGATTTGTTGACAACTTTTGGAGTTGGGGAAGAAAGCAAGAGTCTCTTTGTGAGATATATATTGATAGAAACATATACTTTCTATAATGTTTTAATAGGAAAGTGAATCCTCAATTAGCTCGGGGTCAATGTGTCCACTGCACACTTGGCTTTGAAATTTCCTGTCGAGGGAGGACATATTGCCACAATTAAACTAGATACTAAAGAGGCTAGAGAGTGTTACACTCTAAATTTAAAAACTTGACCATATTCTTTGAATAAAAACAATGATGAGCTCAAATTACATAGCCAACTCAATATTGAAGAAGTTGATGTAGATCCTCGTTGGGAAGAGGACAAGTCTAAGTCCAAATTTGATTAACCTTTGATCGAGTTTAGACTTGGGGAAGAGCCCTCATGGGAAATGTTATGGATAAAATTCAGTTTGCACAAGTGGAGGAGATGTTGAGTAGAATTGTTGATCTATTTGCTTAGAACACAACTAATATGCTCGGTATTGATCCCAACTTCATAAACTTTTTACTTTGTATGGGGTTGAACCCATACCATAAAGAAAGTGTAAGTTAAGAGAAGAAAGATGTAAAGCTAGAGACTAGGAAGTAGAAAAATTGTTGAAAGTTGATTTCATTCGAGAAGCAACTTATACCACTTGGCTGGAAAATGTAATGTTGGTAACAAAATCTAATGGTAAATGACGCATGTGTGTCGAGTAAACAGATTTAAACAAAGTTTGTTCAAAAGATTCTTATCCCCTGCCGAACATTGACCGGCTAGTGGATAATATCTTTGGCTATAAAGTTTTCATTTTAAGCAATGGGAAAGAAAACCTTGGAAAGTTTGATTCAAAATTAGATGAAATGATATTCCTAGGTTATATCACAAATAGTCATACATATAAAGTCTATAATAAAAAAATTAAAATAATCAACTAAAATTATCGAAAAAAGAGATTCAAGGTTCCATCAAAGATTCTTTAGCAGAGCTGTCGAACCAGTTGCAAAAACAGAAGTCCAACCTTCTAAAGAATGGATTACCCCCAGGAATCTATCACTGGACAACATAATTAGTTGAATAGGAAAAGGAGTATCAACTAGACATTCTTTGAATAAACTATGCAATCATATGGCTTTTGTTTCTCAAATTGAACCTAAATTTGTTTTTGATGCATTAAATGGTGGATTCTTGGCAAATGTCATGCATGAAGAATTAAATCAGTTTGTAAGAAATAATAATGTGTGGGAACAAGTTCCTAAACTAACCTGTTAATTCAAACATAATTGGAGCAAAGTAGGTCTTTAAGAATAAATTTGATGAAAATGGTATAATCATTAGAAATAAAGTTCGGCTTGTAGCAAAGGGTTATAATCAACAAGAAGGAATAGACTTTGATGAAACATATGCACTTCTGGTTAGATTGGAATTTGTTAGATTGTTGCTTGCTTATGATTGTATGAGTGATTTAAGGTTACAACAAATGGATGTAAAAAGTGTATTCTTCAACAGCTACATCAATGAGGAATTCTTTTTCGCCCAACCTCTTGGTTTTGAAGATCCCAAACATATAGACCATGTGTACAAACTTAAGAAAGCTTTATATGGTTTAAAGTAAACACTGAAACAGTGGGATGAAAGACTGTTTAATTTTTTAATTTCTCAAGGCTACAAAAGAGGTGAAGTAGACAAAACATTATTCATTAAAAGGATAAGCTCCGGTATTATTCTTGTACAAGTTTATGTTGATGACATTATTTTTAGAGGTGTTAACAATGATCTTTGTAAGAAATTTATAAAAGAAATACAAAGTGAGTTTGAAATATCCATGATGAGGGAGTTAAACTTCTTCCTAGGATTGCTAGTTAAAAAGCAGGACAATGGAATTTTCCTTCACCAATCCAAATACTTTACATAATTGCTGAAGAAATTTTAAATGGAGAACTGCAAAGAAGTCGCAACGCCTATGTTTACGAGTTGTTATCTTGATGTTGATGTGAAAGGGAAGCCTGTAGATCAAACAAAGTGCAGATGGTTGATTGATTCACTTCTCTATCTCACTGCAAGTATACCTGATATAATGTTCAATCTTTCAATGTGTGCCAGATTTCAAGTCTTAACAAAGGAACTCATTTCACTACAGCTGAAAGGATACTAAAATATCTAAAAAGAATAATGAATGTTGGTCTTTGGTATGCAGATAATACTCCATTAAAACTTGTTAACTTTTCTGATTTTGACTTTGTAGGTTGCAAACTAGAAAAAAAAAAGAACTAATGAAACTTGTAATCTCTTCGGAAGCATTTTAATTTCTTAGCATAACAAGAAATAAGTTGTGTGACTCTCTTTATAACAAAAGTAGAGCTATTGAGTTCAACCATTATGGCTTAAACAATTCATTGAAATTGTCCCATCTAAGAATGAGATTGTCTCGGTCTCATGTTCATTATGATAATATTATTAAGATAAATTTTTATGTCCGAGATATTGTCCGCTTTTAAGTTTCCATCCATCACAATTTTGTTCTTAGAGAGAATAAGTTATTTTTATAGAAAATAGAATGTATATAAATTATTTTTAATCTCAAATTCTAATTAAGGTGAAACTCATTAACATATAGAACAAATATCAATATTCTTTAATAAAATTTTCTCCTATAAAAGTCAACTTAACACAAGTAATCGAGGTGAACATGAGTCAAATGGAGGGTTAAGTTCAACCTTATACTTTATACTTTGATTATTACGAGAAAAGAAAAGAAATAAAGAAATAATTAACAACTTTGAAAAATATATGAATATTATTGTATCTTTATTGCCTTGTTATATGTATTCTTTCTTTTGTGTTTTCTTTTTTCTTTGGGGTAAGGTAGGGTGTCTCATGGTTAATTTCTTTAAAAAAATTACTATTATATTTTTTTAGACATTATTTAAATAAAATAACATAATTTTTAACTTTTTATTATTATTTATCAAACTAAATATTAAACATATTTTATATAAGTAATAATTTATTATTATTTTATTTTTATCCATTTTTCATTTTTTAGTATTTAAAATTTCAAAATTATTACTTTTAATTAATTCATAATATTATTTAATATTTTTAACATATTTTATAAATTTTTTAAATAAAATCAAACATTAAAAAAATACTGTAAGTCTTATAAATTACCTATAATTTAAATCCATTAAAATATTTTATTTAATTATTTTATTATATATCATCTTATTAATTATCTCTTATTTATTATCTTTTAAGATTATTATCATTATCTTCTCCTACATAAATCATTAATATTTTTTATAATTATAATTGTAAGATGAAGTGATGAGTTTTACTAGTTACCCGATTTGAAAGGTGGACGCCAGTTTCTTCGTATCCTTAAAAAAAGTTAACAAAAAGGGAAGAAAGGTAAATAATATTTTGATACCATTATTTTTTTAAAACATACAATCAAATACTCCTTTTAATAATAAAATAATAATAAATATTAAGAATATAAATTCTTATTATGATAAAATTAATAAAATTAGTTGTTAAAAAGATATACGTTTGTTTGATGGTAGTTGTGGAAAAGACAAAAATAAATAAAATTTTCCACAAGACTAACCACAAAAGTAAACGTCCTCAATTTCTTTCCTTGCCCGCAACCTCCTATTCGCATAAGATAGGATACAAAACCGTAAAGCAAGCCATTGTCCGTTTCTGAACCGAGAATTTGATTTGCCAAAAGAAGTGAACAGAAGACCAATGGAAGGGGAAGAACATCTCTCAAGCTCAGTCTGCAAAGACATTCCCAATCTCCTGTCATCATTCGTTGACACCTTCGTTGATTTCTCAGTTAGCGGCCTCTTCCTTCCTCCTCCGCCGCCTTCTCCAGTCCCGCTCCCAACGCGTCTCCCCTCGCCGCAGCGCCTGGTCGCCATCGGTGACCTCCACGGCGACCTCGAGAAGTCCAAGCAGGCCCTTCGCCTCGCAGGTCTCATCGACGCAGCTGACCGGTACATAGGCGGCTCCGCCACTGTGGTGCAGGTCGGCGACGTCCTCGACCGCGGCGACGAGGAGCTGAAGATCCTCTACTTCCTCGAGAAGCTGAAGCGCGAGGCGGCGCGGAGTGGCGGCAGAATCATCACCATGCACGGCAACCACGAGATCATGAACGTCGAGGGCGATTTCCGCTTCGCGACAAAATCCGGCGTCGAGGAATTTAGGGCTTGGTGGGAATGGTTCCGAGTTGGGAACGAAATTAAGAGCCTCTGCCACGGTTTGGAAAAACCCAATGACCCAATGAGAGGCGTTCCCTCGTCCTTCCGCGGCGTTAGGAAAGAGTTCCATGATGGGTTTCGGGCCCGGGTCGCTGCGTTGCGGCCCAATGGGCCAATTGCGAAGAGGTTTCTATCTCAGAACGTCACCGTTTTGGTCGTTGGCGACTCGATTTTCGTGCACGGCGGGTTATTGCCGCAACACACTTCGTACGGTTTGGAGAAGATTAACGAGGAGGTTCGGGATTGGGTTAAAGGTTCCACGGGTCATTTTTCGCCTGATTATTGTCGGACTGCAGACGGTCTCGTTTGGGTGAGAAAATTCTCGCGTGGGAATGAGCAGGAATGTGATTGTTCCGCCCTTGAGCATGTTTTGGCCACGGTTCCTGGTGCTAAGAGGATGGTGATGGGGCACACCATTCAGGAGGTTGGAATTAACAGCGTTTGCGACGACAGGGCGATTCGGATCGACGTGGGTTTGTCGAAGGGGTGTGGTGACGGTTTGCCTGAGGTTTTGGAGATTAGCGGAAAGTCCGGGTTAAAGATTTTAACGGCCAATCCACTGTATCAGAATAAGGGCAATGCGGCTACTGTGGATGTTGGAAAGGAACAAGGGCTTGGATTGCTGCTTGGGGAACACGGTGGACCTAGGCAAGTCGAAGTTCAGGCTTGAAGAAAGGAGATTGTCTTGTCACTACCACCATTAATGGGTAAGTCATTAATTTCCAATCAATTTGTTTCATTGCAGACTACTATCATGTTTGGTGATTCACATCTGTGTTTCATATGTAAAAAAATGGAAGTTATTCAAAGTAGCTTCAGTGTAGAAGAATTCAGGTTTGCCAAACCAAAAATACACATGGACACATGGATTGGTTGGTTGAATTTTATAATGTAGCTTACAAGTTTTATGATCACAAGTAAACATCTATTTTATGGGAAACTGAGAAGCTAGAATGGGGAATTTGGATCCTCTAGGATTCTTATGAAGAATTGCAGAGAATGCTGTTTGTACATCTATTTTATGGATTGCTGTAGGTGTGCTATCTAGCTGCCGTTTATTTTCCCCTTATTTAGTATATGCATGCCATCGCTGCAGTATTGCTTCAGTTGTCTTAGTGCAATGGTAAAGTCGGGTCCTGGTCACCCGAAACAGCAGCTGTGCAAGTTGTCTTTTTCTTGAGAAAAATGTCAGGGTAAAAATGAAAGTATGGTTTCTTCAGAAGAGGGAAACCCATGTCAAGATAATCTTCTAGTTACCTAATCCAGTTGGTAAAAAGCATAAGTGCATTATCAGGAGTGTTTTGGGAAATGAGGTGTAATTACTTTGTTTAACTGGAAACACGTGACATTTATAAACAATTGATGTATTTTGATGAAAATGAACTGCTAAGATTTTAAGAATTTCTAGCTGCGATCATAAGTACTTCATAATCCTGTATGCTGATGTTACATAGGTTGGTTAAGCTTAAGCCCTGAACCATTTTGTTTTACTTGCATTTTCTTGTCGCTTATTATTGGTGATGGATTAGTGTGAAATTTCAACAAAAAGCTAGGAGGTCAAATTCATTTTGTAGTGGTTATTGGTTGAGAAGTTTTAAGTTAGTTTGTGCTTTGATTTACAGCCACTTATGCTAAATATATGATATAGAGAATCAGTTAAAGTAATAAACATGTTTTGACTGGGTGCAAACCACATATTAGTCAAATCAGCTTACATCGATCATGTATCCTTATCCATGGACTCCCGAAAAATGATTAACTCTCTGTAAGAACAACTGATCCAATAAGTTTTCACCCATGGTTGTCAAAAGGGATCGTACGAGGTTCACAAGATCGCGGGATTATAACACGAATTGTAGATCTATTCTTATATAATATAAAATATATATTAATAATAATAAAATAAATATCAAGTCACATTTCAAAATTCTTAATGAAGCATAATTTCATCAATAAAATAAAATAAAGAAATCATGTCATGAACTAAGTCTTAAGTCATAAGTATACATATTGATGACTAAAACCTAAACAATAAACATTTAATATAAATCTTTTAAATTAAAATCAAAAGTCAAGGGAAACCTTTAATAGCTCCATCTTACTCATCTAAAGGTGGGATTCAATAGTTCCATCTTGCTCCTCTAAAGGTGGGATGACAAGAACATCATCTGCATGTTCTTCACTTGGGGGCTTGATAGACTATTGCACATCATCTCTATTTAAATTTGGAAAATTATTCAAACCTATATTTTCATTGTCTTTTTCAACATTTTTCATAATTCAATTATTATTGGATGAAATTTCATCAAGTTCAAACGTTTCATGTCATCTTCTTCTAACTTCCTTCTTCTCAGCCAATTTTGAATTAACTATGACATAAAAATCATTCATAGTTTCTTGTTTCAAAATATTTCTTCTCTTTGTATAAACCTAATAAATATAAATGCAAACATATATATAAGTAATTACTAATTTCTTATTTTAATTCTAATTTTATAATTTTTAAAATCTTATCATCTCGAATACACTCCAATTATAATTATGTTCACATCCAAATGAACTACATGTCAAACTAAGTACATATATAACAAATTTTTGAAGTTTTGGATGTTGATCTTCATAATATTCCCACCAAGTTATTAGAGTTTTTTTCCCAATTGCCTTAATAAACAAGGAATTTTTCAAATAACTTTTCTTGATCTTTGAAATCTTCCAAGCTACAAATCAATTAAATATTGCTCCTCACATCTTTTGAATGCATTGTAATAGGTTAATTTTAACTTCTTAAAATTAGGAGAATAATGCAATTCATGATTTAGAAAATAGCCTACTCAACATGTATGGATCTTGTTGTCCCACCTTTCATCAACAATATCTCATAAATCTCATACCCAAAAATTTTACTATAATAATTGAATTATTGTTTTATGTTAGGTATTCTAAAAAGTAAAATCTACTATTGAAATTTCAATTAGAAGATTAGTATAACAACTTTTTTTATCACGGTTAAACTTTTTTTATATCTTTTCTTTGGTTTGGTCCATTTTCTCATAAATGAAACTTATGGTTGGTTTCTCATCGAATTTATCATTCTAAGTACTTGCATAAGAAATACACTTTTCAAACATGACTATACTCTTCCAAAATTCTTTATCCAAAAATATATCCTCACTTGAACTTCCATCCCCTATATTAGCAAAACTAATATTTTTCCATTTCATCATTAGAAAATATTTTAATTATCCAAAAAACACCTTAATATTAAGTAAGAGGTGGCAAAGGGAGTTAAGCTCGACCTTAACAAATCTTTTCCCTTTGTGAAGTGATGCAACGAAGAAATTAGAGATATCATAGAGTAAAATATAAATGGTAATTTTCTATCTTTTGAAATTATATCCTAATGAACAAATATCTTCTTTTCATAGAGTCCAATATAATCTTTTCCTTTTCTTTATTAACAACTTAGTAATAATTTTATAATTGACAACATTGTCCGTTATAATTTGGATAACATTCTCCTCGCTAACTTCTTCAATAATGTCATCTAACATCTTATAATTTTTATATGATAGATGCATCAATAGATTTTAGAAAAATAAATCCCTTTGGATTCTTTACTAAAAAGTTCAAATAGTTCTTATTTGGTTAATCCATCTATTAGTTATTATAGCACAGTTTGCTTACTTCTTTCCATGTAGTCTTGTAAATTTCTAAAACATAACTTTTTACTTATCTTCTTCTTTCAATTACTTAACTTTGATTTCATGATACTGAAGACGACTTAAATTCTTGATCATAATATGAAATTGAATCAAACATCCTCTTAAATCATTTACTTCTTGACACATTAAATATGACACTTTGATAGAAAAATTTAGTTACCTTTTTACAAAGATTTTTTTCTTTTATTTTTCTTGAACATTTGATTAATTATTACTTACGAGCTTACAATTCTCTTCTTGAAACTCATTTTACTACTATCAACATCTTTCTCCTTGCTTTTTTTTTTCAGTTTTTACATTATCGTTTTTAACATAAAGTCTTGTATTTTAATTAATCTTTTCTAATTATCCATAACAATTTCAAATATTTCTTTTTTATTTCTTTAGTCACTTTTTTGTAAGCACTAACATCTGTTGGACTTCCCGCCAAGTGGTGCTTCAAACCCTGCGTGTTATGATATTTGACCAAATTTGCATTGATTTTTTTTTTTATCTCCATCAATGTATATTCTATGCTTCCAAGTCAAGTCTATTATATTGTCAGAGAAATTTTTTTTTTTTTTTCTTAAACCTAATATTTTCTAAAGAGGAGTGTCATCGGGAGAGGGACTGTTGAAAGAGTGGATGACCAGAAAAGATAACAAAGCATGACACATGAAAAGACTCTTCAACGGTTTTGAAAATAAGAAAACGTTACATATTACATGAGGAAATATAAGTGTTTTGCTTTTTCACTGTTCCAAACGCAACTTCCGCTCTTTCCGATCTTGGACAGCGATTCTCTCAATCCTACGTTGTTTGATCTCACATGGAAATTGGAACGATGATGGAAAGCATAATTGCGAAATCATACAATTCTACGAATTTTCCCCCTCGATTTTAACTCCAGGGCCCATGATAAAATTGTGATAAGAACCACATTTGTTAACAATATTTATGGTACTAACGGTATTTCCAATGCAAAATTCTAAACATGAATCTTAAATTTAAAAAACATTATTAAAAAAAAACTATCAAAGCATCTTGATATCTATTCGTGATTTATATATTTAAAATATTATTTGAAAAGTAAATATATTTAAAAATTGGAAAGTGAAATAAAATAAAATTTAGAATAATATTTTAAAAGAAATTAATTATAAAAAAATGTGAATTAGCTTTAACACGTATGTTTTCCAAGTGATGTATAATAAGAGTCTTAAAATTAAAACTTGGAACCTATATAAAATCCTGAGTCTTAAAAAAAATAGTATTTGAATAATTAAATTGATTATGGAGTTGTAAAAAAAATGAAGTACTAATAAAAAAAATATAAAAAGTGAGGACTTTTATAAGAACTCGTAATTGACATGAAGTTTGTAAAAACATGGTTAAGATGTTTAATAGGGTTGTGATAATTAAACTAGTAACTACATGTATATATTCGTCTCCTCTATAAAAATTAAATTGATTGAAAAGATGAGTTTTAGTTTTTTATAATGCAAAATAAAGACTAAAGGTAAAAAAGGAATAAGAAAGACTCCAAAGAATGAGTGTATATAGGAAACTTTGTCTTCTTCTATTCTCTTAATTATAGGTCTTGGTTGAGGTCCAATCTATTGACCTAAAGAATCATCCATTAAAAGGATATTTAGATAATATGTTAGAGAAAATCTTTTTGATAAAAACAATTCTTAAAAACTTATAAAAATAAGTGTGAACACATAATATTTTACATGATTTAGTTTTAACATTAATTCGTCCTAACAATAAACTAGATGGAATTTTATTACCATTTGAAAATGATTTTATTAATAAAGATGAATGAGAAACAAGTTTTATAATATCTCTTATAAATATTATTTATACTACATTTGAAAACCTTAAACTCTCCCTAAATTTCAAATGTTATTTTTTCCTAATGAGTTTCACAAACTAATAAAGTTTAATAGCATCAAATACTAACATTAAAAGAGATTATTTACAGTAAAGATTATAGATTTTAACTTTTCAAACCTTAATAGAAGTGGTCAAATCTATGTATTGTTCAATATAACATAAGCTTTACAAATTTTTTCAAACGAAAAAGTCACCCAAAAGGTTCTACAAAGTTTCACTGCTCGTTCAATATTTCTTATTTTCTCTTGTTGATTTTGTACTTCCTTGTATCTATATACAACATTAGAACATTTTAAATACATTTGTTAAATCAATTAACTAAATATATCAATTAATTATGAATATTCTTAATGAAGAATGTCATTAAGATTTTTGGTGAGATTTTCAGGATGTCTATCTAGATGTTCTTTGGTGGAATGAGGAACTTCACGAAGTTTATTAGAAATGAAGGTCTCCTTTAAACTACTGAAGTATGAGCCTTTATAATCAATTGAGGCTAGACAATATCGTTGGTTCAGTGTCTAAAAATAGAAAAAATTAAAAATAGATGGAGAACAAAATTTTTAGAAATTAAGAATAAATAAACATTTTTGGTGGATTTATAAATTTTTTTATCTTACAATTGTTTATTAATTGTTACTACTACGATATATTAAAAATTATGGATTATATATAATTTGAAATTTATTTATAATTGTTTAATTTTTTTACACATAAAAACATTATAAAAAATAATAATATATATATTATGAAGTAAACGTATTTTTTACATTGATTATGAGCTTAACGGATGTAGACTGGTAGAAATTTACGTTACTTATGACTTTAACCAACGTTTAATTTCAACAAATGTTAGTTATTTATTTACGTGGAATATTGATGACAATATTTAATTATGCTTTAACGTTATTATAACGAAAAATAGTTTATTATTTTTTTTTTTGACAATGAGATGATAAATTATGTTGGATTAAATTGTTTCCTTTTAAAAACATAAAAATATCTAAAACAATTTAGACGGTCACTTTCAAGTGAATTTTGTATGTAAAATACAAAACTAGCATCAGAAAAATATCTTGCACTTTTCTAGCCAACTCAAAACAAATATCTTCCCAAAACCTGCTTAGAACGAAGTACACAGACCATTGACGAACCTAAGTAGTATGTCGGTTGTAGGTTGTGGCAGCTCTTTGTTATTTTGGTCAAACACTTCTCATGCACATGGCCATCAGAATTTCAATAACCCCATGTCAAGGTATAATTACTTCATTGATGGGTTTCAAAAAAGGCAACAAATTCAAGCAGACATTAGATAACTATTTTAATCGGTTTTTATCGCATGTCTTGAAGATGGAGGCAGAAATTTTCAGTGATAAGATGTTGTGATAGAAGAACATCGGAGACGCCAATAGCTCAAAATAATTACTATGATTTGCTTGGAGTTTCTGTTGATTCAAATACCCCTGAAATCAAGGAAGCTTACAGGAAGCTGCAAAAGAAGTATCATCCGGATATTTTTGGCCAAAAGGTAACTATGGTTCTTCAGAGTATTTGTAATCCAACCTTTTTTAGTTCAAGAGAAATTTTTTGTTTTAATAATAATTTATTACAGTATTGATTGAGCTTTTATGATAGGGTCATGAGTATACTCTAATGCTAAATAAGGCTTATGAAGTGCTGATGACAGAAGATCTTAGAAGAAAATATGATGAATCCATAGGTCAGATGAGGCTGAGATTTGGGGAAAATAACACTCCCTTGGGTTACAGCACTTGGAAAGGACCTTTAAGGTCACAAGCCTTATTTGTTGACGAAAATGCATGCATAGGTACACTGTACAAAACAGTTTCTCATGATTCATCAAATGTTAATTAAGTTCATACTTCCATAGGTTCTTTGCAGGGTAGAGAAAAAGAATATTGGTACTAATATACTAAAATCTACAAGGAGTAGTTAACTATGATAACAATAAATCGAAACCTTTGGAGATTTTGATTTCATTATTGTATCCCTTCAATCCAAAATTGTTACCAGGATGCAGACAATGTGTGCATCATGCAAGCCATACATTTACCATGGATGAAGCTCAGGGATGTGCCAGGGTAAAAGTTCAGTATGGAGACAGCGACCAAAGCATTGAGGTATAGTATAGTAATGAGTGATGGTCTACTGCTGTAAACTACTATGTTGTAAGAGTATGACAGAAGAAAATCTCAGGTTTCTGTTGAGTCATGTCCAGTCAATTGCATACATTGGGTGGACAGAGAGGAACTGTCATTGCTTGAGTTCTTGATCCAGCCTCAGCTAAAAGATGGGTATGGTGTATTTGGAGGAGGTTGGGAAAGACCTGCAAATGTGTTCACCGCAGCTGAGTCTTTCAATAAACAACTGAAGAGAAAGGCAACAACTAGACACAGTCAAAGTCCTGGTAGAAATTAATACTTCATGTGTAATAGAATTGATACATGTTGGATTTGTTTGCTGACAAAAATGATGCTACTCATTGTTGTAGGAGGGTATGGTGAAGAAAGTTCTGCTCAAGCTGAAGCTCGCGCTCGTGCTGATACGAAGATAAAGATGGAGAGATTCTTGAAAATTTGGAGTTGGATGAAAGAAATCTTGGGCATAAAAGTTAACTAGGGACAAATGTAGAAAAATTTAATAAAGAGAATTTAAAAGTATATTGGTAATTAAAGTTATGCAGTTCAGAATGTTTTATATAAATTTCAATATAGAATAATATTATTACAATTGAAAATAAAGAAATGTATAGAATAACTCTTGAGTTTCTAAGAAAAATCTAGAAAAGGTTTTTAATTAAAGATGGGTGTGGAAAATTCTACAGTGGAGTTTTATTTTAATTAGAGAAGTTTATAGAAGAGAGTCTATATTTTTCCATTAAACACCTATATATATCTTATTGTATTTAGTATTTTCAAACAAGAAAATTTGAGTTCTCTTTTTTGTTTTTAACCTCTTCTTCTAACAAAGTGGTTTCAATCTAGAGAGTTGAGAGAAGAAAAAAATAGAAGGGATAGATGTCAAATAATGAGTATTTTACCTTTCAATTTCCTTGTCTTCTAAAAGAAAATTATGATAAATGGTGAATAGGTATGAAACTTTTATATGGTTTTAAAGGTGTTGAGAGATTGTAGAAAAAAATTATGAGAGTCATAAGATGAAAAAAGATTATCTCAAAATGAGATAGAGACTTTGTTAAAAATAAGGAAAAAGGTAACAAGTTCTTATTCTTATGTTCGGAAATGTTTATCCTAATACATTGAAGGAAGTTTGAGATATCTTAGAAAATCTCTCTAAGGCATGAACAAAGTGAAGAAGATAAGGCTTCAATCACTAAGGAATGACTTTGAAGCTTTGAAGATGAAGGAATGTGAATCAATTTTGGATTATTGTTTAAAAGTGAAGATGATTGTTAATCATTTGATGAAATATAAAGATAATATAGAATATATTTTTGTGGTAGATAAGATCATTCGTTACTAACTCCAAAGTTTGATTATGTGGTATGCGTAATTGAAGAATTAACAGATCTTGACTCTATGATTATTGAAGAATTGGAAAGTTTTATACAAGGTCATGAAGAAAGAATAAAGAGGAGACATGAAAAGTCATGGGATCAAGCCCTAGGAGTTCAAGCCTCTTTGAAGAATAATGGAGCAAGAAAGAAGTTATTAAGAGCCTATGAAAGAGCAAGAGGAAGAAGTCGTGGTTATTTTTAAAATGAAAGAAGGTATAAGAGAAATCTAAAGTGAAATATTATAACTGTCATAAACTTTGTCATTTCTCCTACTAATATTGTTTCAATGACATCGAGGAAAAGTTAATCTTATTAATGAAGAAGAATAACCAACTTTTCTACTAACACTAAAAGATAAAGATAATGGTATCAAGTGTTTGAAGTACTTAGATAATGGTGATAACACCCACATGTGTGGATACAAGAAGAAATTTGTAAATCTTAGTGAGAGTGTGAATGAAAATGTGTCTTTTGGAGATTCATCGAAAATTTGAAATGAAGAAAAATGTACAATTCTAATCTTTTCCAATGATGGAAGTCATAAGTTGGTCAATGATGTTTTTTATGTGCCTATGTTAAAAAATAATATTTTGAGTTTAGGCTAACTTTTTGAAAACGGATATAAGATTCTTATGAAAGATAAATATATGGGGTTTTGATTGCTAAGGTGCTTATGTTAAGAAACAAAATAAAAATTATTAAACTAAAAATTATTAAAATATAATAATAAAAAATAATTTGTTATTTTCATAAATTTTGTTGACATTTCCCTTAAATTGATGTTGGTAAATCTAAAAGCATTAGTTTGAAGTAAATAATTGTGATGCTCGATGTGTCAACGTTTTAGTGAAAATATCTCCTATTTGAATAGATGTTGACAATGTGGTAGAGTAATTATTTTGTGATCATATGTTTTTTAGATTTAGTAACAATTAATCTCAATGTGTTTAATCCTCTCATAAAAAACAGTATTTATTATGATTTGTATAACATTAGTATTGTCAACATGTAATGGATTAGGTTGTGTTTGACAAAAGTCAAGCTCGTTTAAGAGATCCTACAACCATATTATTTCAAAACAAACAGAAGATGTTGCATCTATTAATGGATGACTTTGAGACTAAATCTTATTTCTTACATTTTCAATAAATAAAGCATTTCCTAAAGACATATCAATCAGGGTAGATGTCCTTGTATGAGGACAACCTTCTCAATCTCCATCACAATATTGTTGAAGTTGGAAAAATGAGTCAACAAGAAAAAATAAATTATGCTTAAAGGTTTCAATAAGATATTTAATTATTTGTTATACTACTAAAAAAATGGAAGTGTCTTAGAGATTACATGAACTTACTAATAGTGTGTACAACAAAGGAAATATCTAGACAAGTGATAATCACATAAATCAAACTTCTAACTAGTTTTCGATATAGATGCACATTTGTATTGTTTATATTTAACATTAACTTCCATTGGAGTGTCAACATGAATAACATTTGATAGTCAGCTAATTGGACCAAATCTTGAATATATTTTTGTTAATTAAAAAATAAATCCTTGGTATTAGTAATGCACCTCTAAACCCAAGAAATAAATGAAATTTCCTAAGTCTTTTATGTAAAATATTGAATGCAATAATTGTTTAAATCTAGAAATAGCTTATCAAAATCTATCACTATAATACCTTTATATGTTTATTGAAGAAAAAGTGATGGATCATATTGACTTTGATTGAAAGAAGAACCAAGTAATGTGAAGCAAAATTTTTTCAAACTATACTCTTGAAGCTTGTTTTAATCTATATAAAGAGTGCTTTAGTTTGTAAACCATATTTGAGAAGCTTGAGGCAAATCATGAGAAAGTTTGATTTAAATGTTCTCCTTGAGATTACTACGTAGAAAAATATTTTTACATTCATTTGATGTAATAACCAATATTTTGATGCAATAAGAGGAAGGATAGTGTGTACAGTGATGATCTTGTCAACTAGACCAAAAGTAAGAACAACTAGTCGAGTCTTATAATAATCAATAGAGTCATTTAATCGTAGTTTGATAAAAAAAATACAAACTCGCTATACCCAAAGGTTTAATAAATGAGGGACAATGAATTATATCCCTTGTATGATTCTCTTTTATGGCAAGAAGTTCAACTTTTACAACTTTTTTTCAACATTCATTCACCATGCTAATAATACATATTCGGTACACACATTTATAGTTTTACTATATAATGAGTGTACTTTTCATATGTTTTATTTTCAATTTTAAACTCATTTTCATTTTGCAGTAATAAATTGTGTTCAATATATATATATATATATATATATATATATATATTTGCTTAAATTATGTATTTTTAGCTAATTTGGCCTTTGGTAACTATTTTAGCCATGACTTTTTTGTAAATATATTTTTTTGTTGTTGAGTTCATTGGATTCTACATTTTAAAGACTTTTAAATAGATATATGGTTTGCCTGATTTGGAGTTTTATGCTATTTTCTACGATTTTTAGAAATTGAAAAAAATTGGTGAAATTTTGTAAAGAATCCATACAAATTTAAATTTTTTTTAATTAGATTGATGAGTCTCCCACGTTTAGGAATCGTCTTAATGTGAGCATATAAATAGTATAAATGTAAGTTTTTTGGTCAATGAAAAAAACTTACCGGATGTATGGTTGATTTGCTTGGTCTAGCTAGGTTGTTGAAAAAGCTCTCCATCTCATACATATCATGTCAACCAAACCTAATGACGTTATGTTCATCTCTACTTGTCGTTCGTCGAAAACACAAAACTATTGAATTGGCACATTATACAGCTAAAAAGTTCACACAATTGGTTCTTGAAAAACTTGAAATTCACGTGTTCTTATCCAACATATTCGCATCAGTTGAGAAATGTACTAATGTTGCAAGAGATTGCAAATGAAGGAGAAGGATTGATAGTAGTAGCTACTTTAATATGCACAAAGAAGAATCTCATGAAGAGAAACAAAAGACATCATGTTTCAGACTCACCTTCCAGTTAAATCTCATTCAAATTGTTGGAAAAATCCTTCATATGTATCTTACCAAACATTTTATGCAAATTACCTATAATCATCTAATGAAAAAGATCACTTTTTTTTTAATCCACATACACACTTCTTGTCAATGTAAAAACCCTTATATAAACAAAGACTTAAAAAAAGTATAGAAACACAATACTTATCCTATATGTCATTATATTTTTTATTTGTTTATTATATTCTTTGTTTCATTTTTTTAATCAAAATATCATAAAAAATTAATTATCATAATTTTAAAGTTAAAATAATGAAAATGATTTGAACACTAAAAAAGTAATTTTAAAAACATATATGCTTTATTATTTGTTATTAATTATTATTATTATATGGGTGATATAAATAAAATTAGGCTGATAAGTGAAAATACATAGAACGTTTATGTATTCACATTTTTATTACTTTTTAAATATATATATATATATATATATATATATATATATTAATAATTATTTTTTATTTGAACTATAATATTTACACTTATATTTTTCTTATTTCAATTACATAAAAAAACAGTTACAAAGAAATCTTTATATATATATATATATATATATATATATATATATATATATATATATATATATATATATATTTTAGATAGAGATACATCTTGAAATTTCTAAAAAATAGTCGAATATCCCAAACTGTCCCACAACCAGTTAAAGAACAGTGAAAAGAGACGAAGGATTGTTCTGCTCTGTTACTTCCCTTCCACTCTGCTTACTACTTTGCTCGGCGAAGATGACGACGTCGCTTACGGAGCTTGACAATGATTTGGTTCGCAGCATGACAATAGGAGCCGTTTTCTCCGAATTCGTAACTCTTCTTTTTCCCTTTCAATTTCATTCTCTTTACTTTCATTTCAGTGCCCTCTGTCACATTTAGGCGTTTCTGTTGCCAAGGAAAAACAATTATGTTAGGGTCCATTAATCTATTACCGAACCTTCTTCTGTGCATATATCTATCGTTACGGTTTTATCTGAACTTATTGCCGTTATTCTCTTAGATCAAATTATTCAGATAATTAAGCTTTTACTTTTTAAACTACTATTTTTATGTTATTTTTAACTAATTTAAAGTGCGAGCGATTTTGAATATCAACGAGTCAAATTTATTTTAGGAACAATTCCTGTGTTCCTTTCAATCAGTTTCTTTCTTTTTTTTCTTTTTTTGTTGTTCTTGGTGTTGAAATGGTGGCTTCAGCACAAATGTCTGTTCTGTAGGGTTTAATTATCTTAGTGTTTGCAGGGTGGGAAGATACATTGCATTGATTTCCATCGAAAGGATGATTTACTTGTTACGGCAAGTGAGGATGACTCGGTGCGACTTTATGACATCGCTAATGCTAAGTGAGTTTACTTTTATCAGAAAGAAGCAATCTCTGCGTTAAAATTGAGTGCTTTTAGTTTTGGCTTCTGTTTTTTATTTTTTAACCATTGCTTCACGATTTGCTTATTATGACTTGTGCTCGCATATCTTAAGCCTTGTGTTGGTGTTTTTATTTCAATATTTCCTTTTAAAAGAGTGTATTAGTTTGCCTGCTCATTGTAAAAGTGAAGTGTACAATTAGTTTTTTTGTTTTCCTGGAAAGCAGCTACTCCAACACGGGCACTGTAGAAGAAACTAATGTCCAAAATTTAGGATACGAGCACATTGCTCATACATAATCAACATGACAAAAATCTCAACTGAGAATTAAGATTTATATAATTCACATTGTAAAAACAATCTTGCTTAAACATTACAGTTTTCGTACAATAACAATGCTCACAATAAATATTAAGGAACATATCTCTTAATAATTCAAAAAACTTGTTAAGTACCATGGAATTGAACCTCACACAAAAAAAGTAATGACCCTTGTAATATTTATAAAATAAGTTTTTTTATTTAACTTTTTTACCTTTGTATGATAGTTGTATCTAGGAAGTGTTTAGCCAATAATAGTCGTTGGTTCACTCTTTTTACTCACGTTTAAGTTGCATTTAGAGTTGTTTAAAATATGTTTGATCCTAAAAAAATATTTTTTAGTTGAAACATGGTTGAGGGGTGTTGGACATGTGTCAAAGTTGTGTTTGACATGTGTTGTGTCTGAGAAGTGTTTGACACATTGACATGTTATTCTATAGAGATGTCATTTCTTCCTTTTTGTTTTCCTTTATCTAATGGTGGGTGATTTTAACTTTTTTGCTGAGAATCTATTCTAAACTCAACAAATGGCTCTACTGGTTGTAAGTGTGTGCTATACGAAATATCCAAATGGTTATTATAAAGAGTTGCTTTTGTGTTAAGTTACTATATAATAATTGGTGTATCTTTCATGTTCTTATAACTTTTGTGTTTTTTCAACTAGTGTTAGTATGTTGGCCATTATGATTCTATAGACTGAAGAAATTTCAATCACTTAAGACTTTCCAACATGTTTTCTGACTTGAAGCAGTTCATACCTTATTATGATGACAAGTTCTCTGGGATTAGGAAAACAGATCGAAAGAATCAAATACTAAGCCAGACATTTTGTTTTACTTTGTCCAGAAAAAAATGTATTTGCTTTATTGCAGAAGCTTAATTTGTTAATACAATAAATTTTGCCCAAAGTTAAGTATACCAATTTAGTTACTTACTGCTTCATACATGAATAATTTTTTTCTATGCATTTTACCATGAATTCCAGGTTATTGAAGACCACTTCTCATAAGAAACATGGCACTGATCGGATATGTTTTACTCATCATCCAAGCTCTGTTATATGCTCTTCAAAGTACAATTTGGAGTCAACTGGAGGTTGGCTTCTCTATTTAACCATTTTATTTGACATAAGTTACAGCTATCTGAAGCTACAGTTATGATTGCAATTATTGACTTCTTATTTCTTGTGTGCCAGAATCATTGCGGTATTTATCAATGTATGATAACCGATGCATAAGATACTTCAAAGGGCACAAACAGAGGTTAGTTGCTAGGTGTAGGAAGAAAACCTAGGTGCTATTGGTTAGTTGCCAGCTGTAGGCAGAAAAGAATTTGTGTTTCTTATTGTTGTATCATTTCCTTTTTGTTTTCGGACATCTTTGGCCACTGGTAGTAAGGACCGAGATCACTATCTATACTTAATTGTTACAGTATAAGCACATGGTTGAAATTATATCTGGCTGCGAAGATTATGACTTTTTTTTATCCTACATAAAAGTGAAATAGAGATAGTCTTATTTTCAATTGTTGATGAATAGTTATTTATTTTATATTGTGCTCTATGTTTATTTGATGCATATAAAGTAAGCTTTCCTGTGCCTGACCCTTTTTTGAATCCTATAAATTGTTGATGAATAGTTATTTATTTTATCCTGTGCTCTATGTTTGTTTGATGCATTTAAAGTAAGCTTTCCTGTGCCTCGCCCTTTAATCCTATAGGTGCATAGATAGACTATGTTCATATGTGCTATCATAACAGCAATTTGTCAATGATTCCGAGTTTGTTACATGACCTTACTGCTGATTTCTTTTCTATGACTTGTTCTGTAGAGTTGTTTCTCTCTGCATGTCTCCAATCAATGATAGCTTCATGTCTGGTTCTCTAGACCACAGTGTCAGGATATGGGATCTTCGAGTAAATGCTTGCCAGGTTGGTGGTTTCTTTTTTCTTTTTGGGTGGAGATTTAGAGTATTGAAGAGAGGTTTGAAGGTGAATGTCTAGATTCTTAGTTATATTGGTGAAGATCCTATATAGTACTGTGTAGTACAAGATTACCATGTAAAATATTTTGTTAATGGTTGAGATCAACGTTTTAACCCATGGACTGCATCACATGATGCAGGTAGATTGTCTTGGTTGTGGCAGCCGCTTTAATTGCATTAGGATGCGCTTGCTAATTGCATTGACTGTAATTGGCAGGCTACAAACACAATGCAACCATGACTGCACCTGCAATTAAAACACATGTTTGAGCTTCAAAATATTTATAATTGCACAGTGCATCATGGGAAAATTACAGGAGACAATTATGATTTATGCTCACAGTTAAAGTTTTCAGGGTATCTTACGTTATAGTTTTCAGGGTATCTTACGTCTACGCGGTAGACCTGCTGTTGCATATGACCAACAAGGCCTGGTCTTTGCTGTAGCAATGGAAGGGGGTGCTATTAAATTATTTGATTCTCGTTCTTATGATAAGGTTTGTATTTGTAACCTTTTTCTAGCTTTTGCTATGATTTTCTTAACTTCACAACACTGATTGCCCATATTGGTGTAGGGTCCCTTTGACACCTTTCTAGTTGGTGGTGACACAGCTGAAGTTTGTGATATCAAGTTCAGTAATGATGGCAAATCAATGCTTCTGACTACTACTAATAACAATATTTATGTTCTTGATGCATATGGAGGAGAAAAGGTTAATTTCTTTGATAATTGAATCTTTTGCATTACATTTTCCTCATTCAATAGTGTGTTTGTTCAAAATATGTGGAAGTTGATAGTTTTCTAACTTGTGCAGCGTTGTGGGTTTAGTTTGGAACCATCTCCTGGCACCCCAATAGAGGCTACATTTACCCCAGATGGGAAGTACATGGTGGCAGGTATAACATTTCATCTCTCCACAATTTAGCTTTTTAAAACTTTACTTTTCACTTCAACTTATCTCCTGGTTATATTTACCAGCTGGTGTGCGCAAAAAATGTTATGTTAATTTCTACCATTATTTTTTGTTATAATATGGTCATTAGATTGGTGTTTATGGGTTTAGGTTGAACTAACAGAATTTGTAATTGATGTAATTATAATTATAATTATAAATGGGACCGCAAGTCCTTCGAGAGCTATTGGATTGGATCTACCTTCTAGGTTGTTGTTTAACCTATGTACATCTTTCAAACCTCTTCACTTCTTCATGCTCGAGGTTAACTGTGTGCCAATTCTCATCCCCAACTGTCGCATGTCTTCGCCAATTAATGAGTATGATCATACAACCCTAATTGACTAATCAGTTTAAGGTTGATCAAGTCTCTAAAAAATTAACATTGAAATAATATAATCTGTAAAAAGGAACAAACCGCACTTAAATTCATAACTCACTCTACAGTTGGGGGTGACCTAAGGATGCCATGGTCATCCCCAAAATTTTTAAACCCCTTTAAATTTCATAACAAAAAATATTTTATGGTCCCCCTGAAAAAAAAAAAAAAAATGTTGGTCCCTCTCACCACAATAGTTTGGCCCTCCACTACTTGGGCCTTGAAGAAGTCAGCTTGGGCATGCTTCTCTATGACACATTCGTCCTGGGTTAGCACCAGTGTTCTAGTCATGCTGCTTAACTTTGAAAAGCTCATACATTCCTCCTTTGCTCAGCTGGCGTGCTAAGATTAGCACAGGTGTGCTAGCTTCTAAACTGGGCCGTGTTGCACTGTGTAAAAATCTCTTAGAATCTGCCATGTAATAGCATGACCGTGCTGAGTGATACCACAGCCGTGCTATCAACATGGGCTTGTTGAAGTGGAATGGCCGTGTTGGCTAACTAGGTCTTCATTTGTTGATGATTTTGTCCCCTTTTGACTAATTTCTCAATGTTTTGTCTATAGTAACGCCAAAGCCCTATGTGCTACAATGCTGAGCCAAGGACACACCTTGCCATATCTGTCCGATAGGATAAAAGGAACTTATTTGTTGGTTAAATAATATCAAATCTTAATTGTTTCAGCAACAGAATAACAACATTGTAAGCACCAGAATGGGACATATCAATCTCCCCACACTTAAGCTTTGCTTTGTTAGAATTAAAAATTGCATTCAAGGAGGGGATGGCTGAATTGAACTTTTTTTAAAGATTTGTGCCAATGGATGAATTGTTTTCTTTGAATCAAAATAGTATAAAAGAAGAAACAGATTTCAGCTTCAAGAAATGCCAATTTTAATGTTCTTTAGCCTTCCATGAGCATACAAGAATGTTAAGACAAAATCAATATGCAAGAGATGGGGACAGAAGAAAACACCAAGAATATATTTTGGTTGACCCTCCTAAGAGAGCTACATCCAGTTATTTAATCACTCTAATTAAGTCAGTCGTCAATTTTGAACCTTTACAAGATTCACACAAGAAAACTAGAAAGAATACGCACAAACACCAAGATTTTGAATTTTACAAGATCTTTTACAATCACAGATCTTGAACGCTACACAATCTTTTACCACCACATGTGAAGTCTTATCACAAATCCCTCTCTTCTTTTTGTTATTCCTTTTTTTTTTCCTTTTTCTAATACTTATTTCTCTCTTTTTTCTTTTCTTTTTTTTACTTTTTCTGTGTATTTGGAAGAAGCTTGAAATTTAAGAGAGGGAGAATTCCAAATTTACACAGCTTATTCCCCAGTTCGATGAATCAGCACTCCTAGATTTATTCAGTATTTAATAGGATGCCAAAGAAAAATTAAAGGGCTCAAACAGGTCAACTAAAGGATAGTGTCATTACAATTGCCTGGGGTCGAAAGAAAACTATCCTAAAAGTCTCTTTCTAGGTATAGATCTTTCATGAAAAGCAATTAATATGTATATCAAAACAGACCACAGAACAATTAATCAGTGAGAATAAAACACAAGAATAAAAATGCATGGGATGTATTTAGATGCCACCCATCTTTAGGCTCAAAACTCATATATCTGGGGTTAAGTTTTATGATGATTGATCCAATGAGAAATTGTTTGCTAATATCTTTCTAAAAGAGGTTAAATGATAGTAAAAGCTCTTTTTTTTAATAAAGAATCAAAAAGAAAATGCTCACAGATTCGGAATGACTGCCCAATACTCATTCATATACATGTTAATAGTTGGGTTGGAGGTATAATGCTCAAATGAAGTTCAAAATACGATATTTTTTCCCACACTTAAGGCATAGTCCCCAATGCATGAACACAAAATAGATGCAAACAAACTAATAAAAAACATTGCAAAAACATATCTTGGCCTTACCATGAAACAGCCTAAAACACACATAAGAACAAAGGAGTCTCCTTGTGTCAACCAACTTGATTGTGCTAAACCAGCATGGGCTGGATGACACACGACCATGTTGAGTTCCAACACAGTTATGCTTCTTCTTCACCAACTCACCCAGGCTAAGGTAGCAGAGTTTGTGTTGGGTCAGAACCACCATGCTAACAGAGAGGACGACCATGCTGACCTTGTGTTATAAAAAATACACAATTAAATTATGCACAGAAATACTTAAGCAAAACAGGTAGCCCCCTGTGAAGCTCTTGGATAATGTTGCGAGCCTGATGGAACTAACATGCTGCTTTGTTTCCCAAGACGTCTAATATAATGTTTAACCCTATGGCCATTAATCTTGAAGGTGGAGCCATCATTCCTTGTTAACCCAAGTGTTTCATAAGAAAACTCAAGGGAAACAGGGAATGGGCTTTCCAGCTAGCGTGAAACTTTCTTGCAAACAAGAATTACACACTATAACCTTTTCCCTAATGAGAGAACTCTCAGTTTGTTAATGCGCTCATCATGCCACTTATTTGTTTTTTTTCCTAATCTAATTTTGAGTTTTCATAAACATCAAGACAAAGGTCGTCCAACTCATTCAACTACTGCAACCTATTATCCCTTGCTTGTTTAACATCAAAATTTTGAAAATTAAGATGCCAAAAGCTCCATGTTCAAGTTCCATAGGTAAGTCACAATTATTTCCATAAACCAATTTCTACGAAGACATGCCAATGGGAGTTTTGAAAGTTGTTCTGTATACCCACAATATATCATCTAACTTAAAAGACCAAGCTTTCCTAGAAACACTAACGGTTTTTTCTAATATTCTTTTTGAAACCGTGTTACACACTTCTACTTGTCCACTTGTTTTGGGATGGTATGGAGTGGATACCTTATGAGTTACGCCATATTTTGCTAGCAAATTATCAAATAATATCTTGCAAAAATGTGTTGGCCCATTGCTAATAATTGCTTTGGGTGTAGATTCTTTAAATTAAATTATAGTCAATGAGTATAGATTCATTACATTGTGGACACTGTGCATCTACATTAAGTTACTTTCATTCTATCATTAACATTTTCCAAAAGCTATAATGAATATATATTTCTTAAATTTTGATATCGAAGGATCAGGAGGTGGAACCATGCATGCTTGGAGTATTGAGATGAAAAATGAGGTATTCCCTATTTTCTACTATAATATGATTCTGCTATACATAATTTTTAATTTAATTCTACAAGGATACTTTAAAATTACGCAGATTATTAAACCATCATTTGTAATTCATAGATTTACATTGATGCATTAGTGGAATAATTGAAGTTGTGAAATATCTCCCGTTACCTTAATGTGTTGTCTACTGGTCTTTTTGAGCATTACTGAAGATTATGCACCATTGAATACATGACTAAACTCTGGATAGTTATAAACATATGCATTTATAAAATTAAAACAGGTAAAATATATAAAAAATTACTCTTTATACTTTAGCTGCTGTAGATTTACCCTCAGAATTTTCAAATTGGTAAAAAACTGCTTAATTGATGGACACAAAAAACCCTTTAAATGTGTTGAAAGTCTTACGTCGTCTGCCTCATGTCATTTGGTATGGTTTAAATACATGTTAGGTTACTCCACACATTGCCAATTGGTTTTATGTTGGAACCTTAACATGGTATCAGAGTCAAAGCCTAATATCTTTCCGGTTATTGTCTTGGGCCAAGAGTTGTTCTTTTATTGTGGGTTGGCAGACTTCGTTGGAGGGGGCGTGTTGAAAGTCCACATCGCCTGCCTCATGTCATTTGGTATGGTTTAAATACATGTTAAACTACTTCACATATTGCCAAACCTTAACAAAATATAATGGAAAAATCTTCCTCTATTCATGAAACACTTATCTAATTACTGAAAATTGTGAATGTGTACACTTTGTAATCAGAAATGAGTATGTTCAAATGAGAAAAAAATGAGTATATGAGGTGATATTGGTGTGATACTTGTCAAGGAAAATATGACAACAAATTAATTAGGTGGTTTGAACATGTGCATATGAGGCCTATTGGAAGCTCTAGTGAGGAGAGTAGACGGCATGGTTTTTAACCCTCTTTGAAAAAGGGTGAAGGGAAACTATGGACGTTGGAGGAAATTATTGAAAGGTAGGTATCTCATGATAAATATATCCCTCAGAATTTGGTATTTAATGGAGTTTAATGGGCATCATATGACTCATGTTCAACCTCACTTATTCGGCCATTGTTGTTTTACTTTTGGTTATCACTTCAACCACAATAAACTTTGATGAGCTGTTAAAAAACTCATTTTCTAAGAGGAGTTAAAACACTCAAATTTCATACTTTTTTTTTCGTCTATTTATTAGTTTGATTTGCCAAATGTCAATTTTTTTTTTGTTTAGTCCTTTTTTGTATTATTTTAATAACGTCAAGGGTTCTAGTGATTTCCAGTGATGGGACATTTATTGTTTGTTAGTATAGTGAATAGGTAATGGAGGGGATTTGTTTCACACTTAGAAAGGTTCTATAGGACGGTTTTTTACCAATTTTTGTAAAATATGCGGAATATAGTACTGAAGACACGTATGGTTTGGTAGTAGAAAACAAATAATGAGATCTAGAAAACTAAATACTTCAGAATTAACGTAGATACATATGATTTAGGCAGGAATACAACATTTATTGCAGAATTACTCGAAAACTTATTGCAGTTACTGTTAAGTTAGATTGATTGGATAAACTTATTTAAACTTGATAGTTATAATTATGACTCAGCTATTACAGAGTAACTAGACAGTTGTGATGCTCACCACCATTGGCCACCCTCTTTGTGGTGCACCCTTGATGGTTTAGGGTGGCCATGGTGGACGTTGACCTTTATTTCTCTGAAAAGTTTCAACTAGGACTAAAAACCTTTCTTATGCTTCTGCATGTTATCTTCTCTCACTCACTTATGGGCTGATTGCCACCACCGTATCTTTCTTCTATTCTCATTCATTCAGTTTTTTTACCATCTTTTTTCTTTAATATAATTGTTGAGTAATATGGTATCATAAAGTTCTTAATGAAGATTGAATATATTGGAGATATTAGACTATTGAATAATATTGATGTAGTTTTTTTTATATTTGTCATTATTATAACATTCTAAGAGTTATTATTTAGTCTTCAAAATATCCCTTAATGTAATAATAAAGGTTAAAAAAATAAAGAGAAGAGAAAAAATAATCAAAACAAAAATCAATTCAATCTTCTAAATATTTTCCTCTTATTCTTAATTTTCTGCATAATTGGTAATTCTTTGAGTCTTATATAAACATTACTTATGGAATGCTATCAACAAAGTAGTATCAGAGCAATAGATTTTTGCAAAAAATAAAAGAGAGTAAAGAATGATGGATACAAACAATCCAATTGCTAATAGTACAATCTATAGCAATGCCCAAGTTCCTTTATTTTGAAGTAGGAAATTATGAAGAGGAAGAGGTTTCAATGGTGGAAGAGAAAATAATGGAGAATCAATCAAATGGTGGAATCAATAAGAACAACAATCATGAAGAAGTTGAAATAAAGACAAACCACAATATTATAATTGCAAAAAGTTTGGACTCATTCAAAATAATTGTCATTTTACAAATTAACAACATAACAATTTTGCTTAAGTAGAAAATGGTGAAGAAAATTTAATCTTTGCTTGTCAAAAGATAACTCGAGCATAAGAATGTGAGGTATTTGGAAAACGATTACAAGAATCATAAGAAGCCTGCAAAAAGGCAAAAAGGAAGGATGAACATATTGAAGTCTTAATTGTATGACTTTGGTATGATGTCTTTCAAATGTGGATTCGCTAGAAATAAGGAAGCTTTTATTAACATGGATTCTTAATTTGTCTCAAAAGTTAAATTAGGCAATGAGAGTAGTGGAAATAGAAGACAAAGATAATATTGAAATTACAACAAATCAGGGGGGAAGTAATTCATTATACTCTTTACAATGTCATAATTAGATAAAAATTTGTAGAGTATTGGACAACTTTTAGAACATGCTTATTATTTTCGATTTGAGAATCGAGAGTGCAAAAGATTTTGTTCAGAAGGAAGAACGGTTGTTGTGGTGAAAATGACAAACAACAAAAGTTTTCCGCTTTCTCTCGTGAGCATTCAAATTTCAATGGTCTTATGTTGCTTTTTCAAAAGAATATGATGTTTGTGCTACTAACAACCGAAAAGAAAAATAGAGTGAAGGGTGTATATTTAACAAATATCATTGTGAACCATTTCTAAAGGAAAGAGTAAGGAGAGCCAAATAAATGCTATGATTGGTGCACATAGATGTATAATACCCTTTGTCGTGATTAGAAAATGTACTGTATTTTATTTATTGATAACTTGACTTGAATGATGTGAATTTATTTCATGAGAAAAAAATCTAAAATATTTCATATTCATGAAGTTTAAAGTAATTGTTGAGAAGAAAAGTTACACGTTCATAAAATTTGTGAGAAGTGATAGGGGAAGGAGTATATTTCCAATAAATTAAAAAAAATTATGAAGAGGCACAGCTAATTATTGACTATACATCTCAACAAAATTATGTATCCGAGAAGAGAAACTTAATTATCATGGAGATGGCAATATCCATACTATTTGGCGAGAGGCTATTGATATAGTAGTATACTTATTGAATAAATGATCAGCAAAAGTTGTTTATAATATAACACCAATTGAAGAATGGAGTGGAAGAAAGCCTTTAACAAACCATCTTAAAAAATTTGGATGCATTTGTTATGCTCAAGTTTCCAAACAAAACTTGAAAAAAAGTATGAGATGTATCTTTATTAGTTATAGTTCTATATCAAACTGTTATAGATTTTACAACTATAAAGTGTGAAAGAAAGTCTTTAACAAACCATCTTAAAATTTTTTGATACATTTGTTATGCTCAAGTTTCTAAACAAAACTTGAAGAAAGTGTGAGATGGATCTTTATTGGTTATAGTTCTATATCAAACGGTTCTAGATTTTACAACTTAAAGACTAAGAAGGTGGTTAATAATTGATGAGAAGAAAAGATAGTGGAAACAATCTCAGCAACAATTTTACAATAAAAATGAGCACCTAAAACTGAGAAATTAACTCTATATACACCAAATTCATCATCATATCAAGTCTTTCAAGTTCATCATCTCCTTCAACTCTTTAAAAAATAAGAAGTTTGATGATATTTATGTAAGGGGCAATTATTGTACTGTAGAACTAGTAAACATTGAAGATATAATTAAAGAAGATACATAGAGGAATGTCATACAAAAAGAAATTGATGTGATTGGAAAGAGGACATGAGAGCTGATTGAGAAGTCAAATGATATTGAAGCTATTTATGTGTAGTGAATATACAAAGTAAAACATAACTTAGATTATTTAAAACAATAAGAAAGTTTTAGGTGTTTAAGAACAATATATTAAGGAGAAGAATGTTGAGTACTGTGATGTCATAAAATATTTAATAAAAAGTGAATACATATTAAAAATATTTTAACAGTATTGAATAATATGGATGTAGTTTTTTATTTGTAACTCCTTGACATTCTGGGTTATATAATGCAAGAACAGAAAAGAGAAAGAATAATTCAAACAATAAAAAAGTTAATCCTCTGAATATCTTGCTCATGTTCATCATTTTTTGTACAATCTTACAGCGAAAATGAGTTTTTTTGAGTGTTATAATAATTTCATCTCTAGAATACTGCCGACAACGGGCATGCATTCTACCATAAACCGAATTGCTACCTCAGTCATCAGTTTTACATCCACACATTGTTATCATTTTCGTTTAAATTAAGAGCCAGATCTAATTTAATTTTTTGTTTTAATCCTACAAACCATGTATATATTTAGTCTCTACATTTAAGAATAATAAGGACCGTGACTTGAGTATATAATTTTTATAATAAGTCACTTTAAAGCACTATTTTATATTTTATGGATGTGTTAGTGTAAAATATGATAAGGATATGGTTTGCTTCCTGCAGGTGGCATGTTGGAGTAGCCATATTGGCGTGCCTTCGTGCTTGAAGTGGGCCCCTCGCAGAGCCATGTTGGCCGCAGCTTCAAGTGTTCTAACGTTCTGGATACCCAATAATGATTCAAATCTGAAAACCGAGTATGGTGGCTTCGACGCCGAAGCTGGACCTCAACTCCATCCACTTCTCCATTGAACTCAATATTCTCTTCCTTCTTCGTCCGGCCAACAATTTTGTTCTCTTGTTGTATCAAGAAACTAACCAGGCCTTATTAATTTTGTAAACTCTCTAGTTTGATTACATTTCATGAAAATTTTGATGTCGCCAATTGTAAATTTCATCACCGAATCCTATTTATTTAAATTGGATATTTGTTCACAAAAAATATGTTAAACAAATCATGATAACATTATCATCAAATGAAAAATTAAGTTGACATCATATCAAATAAAAAATTAAGTTGGGAATGTGGTTGATTAAGGTTTATAATTCAACCTCTAATATCTTTGATAGACATAACAGTCATCAATGATCTTATACGAATTAATTATTTAATTTTAATTGTTTAGTTAAAAGTACATGTATTCCTTAGTTAAAAAAAAAAGATATATTCGATAAGATATAGATCAAAGTATAATTTTTTTATTTATTAGGTTTCTTCATAAGAATAATATATTATTTATAAAATTTGTCAACAACCTAGATGAAAAAATGATCGAAGAATGATATATTGTTTTTTGAGATTTTTATTACTCAAATTTTATTAACGAGGTATATTCTTTATATAAGATTTTAAGTAAGACATAAACTACGTATATGCACTCAGATTGATTCAACTAGAGATTATGGTAAGTCAAGAACGAGATACATTCTTCATCGTCTGTCAGTTTCTGAGTTTTATTTCTAGATTTCGGCTAGAGATTTAGGGGAAGGTATGAGTATTATTTTTAGATATTGTTCATTGGTAAGACAAGAACGAGTATGAGTGTTATTTCTATCATATTCCTCGTTGGTTATCTCTATCAGATTCTTCATTGGTAAGACATGAAGAAGGTACATAAGTGTTATTTCTAGGCATTCTGATGGAGAATGTGTGTTATTTCTATTAAGGATTTAATGAGGCATGATATCATGGGGGAAGTATTATGAATAATCACGGATACCCTGTCTTAGTTAATTTCCTCATAGGCATGCTTATCAACAAAGATGTTAATGGCAAATCTAAAAGATTACTGGTTAAAGTGCTGTGTATTTGAGAAAACTTTCATAGCTGCAATCTGCTTATAATTTGATTTTTAATATGTTAAAATCATTATTAATGAAGCACACTTTAGAATTAAAGGTTGTTCTAAAAGCAAACTGGTTTTGTTGCACGGGTTTCTGAGAAGAACGAAAGTGATTACATAAAACCACACAAAACAAATTTCATAACGAATTCAACAATGAAAGTGAAGAACTACAGAAGACATTGCCAGCGTCCATATACACCAGAGTGGTAGCCAGTACCCCCTTTTTATGACATGAACCAACGTACCTCTGCTAACCAAGCTAGATCACAAAAAACAGAGACCTACATATAATACCAGAAGACACAACACTAACAAAGTGAAGAGGTACATTATTTATTTCCCGACATAAACAGCATCGTATCACAGTACTCCGTCGGTTGTGGCTGTTGATGATATTGTTGTTCTCTTTACCTCCCTTGCCTCCTTCGCATCCCTGGCCTCCCTGGCTTCTCTGGCTTCCTTGGCACTCTTTTCCTTCGCATCATGGGCTTTATTCTGTATATCTTGACCAACCTCCTTCGTCTTCTGCCCCACTTCCTTTGTCTTCTGCCCCACGTATTCTGCTGCATCCGCCAGTTGATGCTTTGCCGCTGCTGCTAGGTTCACCGGCATCGGCCCCTGGCTCTCCCGGATGTAATTCAAGATCCACGAGAACGAAGACATCGCCGTCAGCTCGAAAGCTCCCGCAGTCAAAAACCCCGCCACCGCCAGCCCGATGACCACAGAGGCCGGAACCAGAATCGGGCTGAACAGAATTAAAAGCGGGATTGCCACCGCCAGCCCAGTTAGAGTTCCGGCCAGAGTAAGTCCCGCCAAAAGAAGGAGGATGCCGCCAACCGGAAGGCCGACGACCACAGCGAGGACCTGAGAAGCGGAGGGAACTCTCTCAGCAGGGCAAGAGCTAGTCTTAACTCCAGTTTCATAACTCTGTGGAGGACGAACAGCTCGTTCATAACGCGGTCCAGGAACTACACCGGCTTCGAAGCGTTCTGTTGTGGTGTGGACTTGGACATGATGGGGGGCTTGTGTGCGATCACTCATGGTGGAGGGTGAAGTTTAGGGTCACAATGAAGATAAACAGAGAAGTAAGAAGAGAAGAGGTTGTAGAGAAAGATTTGGTTTGCGTGTTTGTGTTATAGAGAGAGAGTGTGTGAAAAGGTAGTCTTATATACAAGACCAGGGGATGGTGGTGATGACACGTACATCTTACATGCTGCGTAGAGGCTTTGCATGAAGAACAGGTTTCACTCTCCCATCTCTATATGCATCACACAAGTCATAAATAATTACAGACAAATGAAAATAATAATGATTAATTTTAGTGTAAATTTAAAAATGATTAATTTGATAATCTATTTAGTCTTTGTAGTTTTAATGTTTGAGTTTGGTTCATATTTAAAGCAAAGAGATTTGGTCCTATTATTAATTTATCATTATCACCACATCTACAACCATGTAATCACATAATTTAATATAAAAAAATATGAAATATATTTAAATATAAAGTAAAATTACAAAAGTACAATTCAACTTGAATCCAAATAGTTTACGGGATTGAAGCATTAAAAATTATACGATAAATTAGCAATGGTCAATTTTTAAAATGGAACAATTGAGATAACGACAACCAAAATTTATTATTTTTTGAGTATTAGGAAATAAAATTGTATGGGGCGTGCAGGCATTTGTGGACAGAGAAGGAGGAATAAGTGTCTGTCACGCCACGACGGGAGTTGGTGTGGTGTGCGCGTTGGAGGCAAACAAGTGCGAATATTGGGCTTGGCTGTGGCTGTGAATCTGCAGGTATCCAATGTGGGCTTCACTCTCCACACAATTCCGCTCGGTTTCTTCTGCATCGGTACGTATAGGCGCTTAATAATTATACTCAATTCTTATATATTTGAATTAATTCAACATTATTATATATATGTTTCATTGTTTGATAATATTATATCCAAATTCTAAATAATATTTAAATCTATTTTTAATTTCTATAAAAAGAACATTTTTTATTTTAGTATATATTATTTTCGATATTATGAATTCTTAACAAGAATTTAATTTTCTAATGACGATTTTATTTTTTTTTACTATAAAATTTTGAAAATAATAAATTTTGTGTTTGATATCAATCTCAAAATTTAGTTGAGTTTTATATTTATATTATTATATTTTAATATATTTGGAGATGAAAATTTACTAATATATTTAAAAGTTATTGGGGAGTATTTTAAAGACGAGAGATATATTGTTTTTTATTATCTCAGATAAAACTTCAACTTTATATGTTAGTATTTTGAAGAGATTAACTCAGCTGTTGGATTTAATTAAGAGGTTTGAACTATGAATTAAATTGAGACATGTAGTGTTTTAGTTTAAGAAAGCTATTAAAAAAAATAGTCTTCTATTTTTCCTAATTATTTGTAGAGTTTTAATTTTTTTAATTATATGTAGTTAAATGGAATTATGTATAAATGTACAATTACCTATAGTGACTATTGATTGTTATATAATAATAATCTATTTATTGGACAAGTTATCATTATTTGTGAATAATGAAAAAAAAAACATATTTTTCTTCCAACAATGCTAACATGATATCCAAATTGATCTTCAGTTCAAGATTTAAACCTAAAAAAGGACTCTAAAGTCCTAGTTAACTTTTCTTTCTATAATGTTTTCTAATTTATTTTTCATACTAGCATAGCATGTATAATAACGAATTAGATTATCTTCCAATTATATAAATATATCTTTAATAATATTTTATTCTTCATGTTCTAAGTTGTAACATGATTAAAATAACTCATTTTCTTCTATCAAAACTCAATGACATAAACTAAAATTAAATCAACAAATCACATCTCCCCCATTAAATATATAAAAAAGTTTTATTTTTTTTTACTTTTAACAAAGTTTGATCTCTTCTGTCTTTGATCAATCACATTATTCTCAAATAACACATTATATAGCTTTTTCAAACAATTAGCCAACAATTTTTATTAATATTTGATATATAAAGCACTTTCATTAATATAAAACAAAATTTTTAAGTTTGATTAAGTTTCAATGTTGGGAGACGTAAACTTGTTTAAATCACCAACATAATATTACATCATACCTATATAATTATCGACATAAATTTACATAGGACTAGTAGAGAAAAAGATGTCTAAGGCTTTGATAATTTTATATCATGTAAGTCACCACTCAATGTAAATTTTGATTTTTTTTTAATTTGTTTTGTTTTCTTAAAAGCAAAACTTCCATATAAAATATGGACAAAATAAAACATAGACAATCTATAATATGACTATATTATACTAAAATGCTAAACTACATAATAATCTAATTAAATTACACAAAATTCAACTTAACAACTAAATTATCCAACTATCCTAGAAGTTAAACTACATAGCAAGACAAACTAAACTTACAAACTTAAGTGTTATACATTTTGAACAAAAAATATTGTCCTTTGTTTTTTTATTTGTGTCATATCATTCTTGGATAATGGAGATGGATTTTAAAATATCTAAAACATTAATTTGACTCTTGTTAAGATGTAATATTTGTAAAAGCAAATAGACTTAAAATAAATTACTTCTATCCTAGAATCAATAATACCTACATAAACCATAATTTTCCTTCAATACATGATGTAATAGTCATATTCATACAAGTATGTTTGTCTATTACACAAAATGAGAAACAAATCAATAAAATATTTTCAAAATTTATAAATACAATAATTATTTTTTTTGTTGTCTATGAAGAATAGAGTTAATTATATTAATACTTATGATGATTTTTTTTTTGTATAATACTAATCGATAGGGTCTCATTGTCAAATGTTACAAGATCTCGTACATTTGAACTCATTATTGTGGACCTGTATCCATTAGTATGAGACATTTTATTTTCCAAGTGAAATCCCCTAGTATATAAAAGGGTGAAAAAGTATTTTCGTTATGGTGGAATAAGAAACATTTGTATCTTAATGCATGTATTTAATTTATTCGAAATTATTAGAGTTGGATATATTTTTTGGAGAATATGAGTAGAAACAATAACAATAATATTTCTAGTGGAACATCGTTCACAATCCTTTGAGAGATAGTTCACTAAAAGACTGAGGGATAAGTAATTTGACTCGTTTATATCCAGATCATGAATGTTAAAAATCCATATTATGCAAGGAAACATTACTTTTGCTAATTCAAAGTGAAATGTGGTATAAAATAGTTCTATTTATGACTAATAATTTTCTTATGGTGAAAGGTGATATAAAATCGACCTATAGTTAGCATGGTGTATGATAAATAACTTTCAGACATGATTCTAATTGAAATAAAAACAAATATTATTCAACATATATTTATACTTTTACAACTTAATAAAAAAGATAAAGTTGTTCATGTAATAGGTTTTTCCTTTCTTAGTTACCACGATATAATCCCTAGAAATGATTACTATTAATTATCAATGAGACTTATATTATATGACAAACAGATTAGTTATAAAGAAGCTTAAAATGTCTACAAATCCCTAGAATTTTAAAGAAATTAATGATTAAATAATTAATCACTCATAGAGACTAAAAAACATTTTAATATTCATATAATACATACAAATAATTTTTTAAAATAGCTAATTTTAAAATTAAAAAACAAAATTGTGATTATTGAATAAAAATAAAACAAAAAAAATCATGAGTTCAATTTTAATAACAACAATTCAACCTAAAAACAACCACAATTTCAAATTCAACAAAAAATTAAAGACATTGAGTATTAACCTTAATTATATAAAAAGATGAACAAATGCTCCAATGTAATCATATAGACATGTCCACTACCACAAATGAGTCACAATGTGAGTTTCGTCGCCTTTTTTTAAATCGGTGATTTACTAGTTTGACGATAATGTAAAAAACTCATTTTTATACTAATGATCATTGATTATTTTTGTATTTGAGAAACTTTTAATTACAAGAGTGACCACATATTTGTCACAGTCAATTTCAACTTTTAAAACAATTATCTTATCCACCTTCTTGAACAATTCATTATGTGTATCCAATATCAATCAATGGCGAGACAAGTTGTTGCAAATTATTACTTGTCCTCTTCTTATTGATCACTTGAGTCTCGATTTAAAATTGTTTTATATTATTATAAATTTTTGTGTTGTATTTGTTACAACATATATTAAGTTTTTCTCACCATTTAAAGTGAAGGTGATTCCTCTTTCCATAATAGTAACAAAGAGGATGATTTAAATTCTCCTTCTTTACCAACTTTGTTAGAACTTTCTTTTTTTACAAAGTTGTTACTTTAGTTTTTTATTTTTTCTTTTCTAACCATAATTGAGTTTTAGTTTAGCCAATAAATCATCTTCATTGCTAAATTTTTTCCCTTTTATTCTCCTTGACTCTTAGGTTACAAGGCATACTGAAGAGACATTTGATTAATCTTTGAAAATTTTAAAAAATAAAATAGTGGATTCAAATATCTTATTAATCGCCCTAGGAAGTTTCTACATTATCCTTATATTTAAATTTCTAATCAAAATAATCTTCCCTCGCGGACAATACTTAAAAAGTCTATCAAAATATTTCTTTTTTACTCTTCATTTATTGTATTTCAAACTCTAGATCAAATTTAACTTTTGTATTCCCTTTATTTGTTATCCCACGTGATCTTTGTTAATTTTAAAGACACAATTATAAGTCAAGATTATTGGAAAAACAATAAAAAAAAATTGTTATTTTTCTTTTTTTGTGATTCTTGATTTAGTTGAGCATTGATTATATAGGAGTTAATCAATCTCATAATTCTTCTCAGCAATCTCCCAAAGATCACTTCCATCAAGGAAAAACTCTCATTTTGACTTCTTATATGCTATAATTCTCACCTTGGTATCAAAATAACTTAATTATCTAAAAACTTTCGTTTTCAACTTTTTAACTGAAGTAAAGTATTTGGGTATTTGATAGAAATCTTATTCTCACCAAGTATCTCAAAACACACATAAAGTTACAAAATTATCTGTAAGAACTCATAACATTTTTATGATTAAAAATTATTCATATATTTTTTTATTCATATTATGAACTTTTAAATACAATAAACATAACTAAAAAATTATAATTACCCCACCCATTAATATCAAAATAAATCATAAATAAAATACTCATATTTTTTAATAAATTATTAACACGCCATTAGTACTTATAATTAAAATTTACAATAATATAAATTATAAGAATATTCTAATAAACTTTAAGAACAAATATTGGAGTGGACAAAAATTTCCCTCCCTAATTTTTTAAATGTTTTCTTTTTGTTTAGTTAAATTGAGATATTGCCTTTCTATCACTTGCTTGTTTAGTTAAATAAGTACTTATCTTAGAATATTTTATCTATTTATAATATTTTAATATAATTAAATATTGTCAATGAACATAATTTAAGTGAATTAATAACATCTTACTAGAAGTTAGGAAATCAGTGTTCCTGTATTAGTAATAATTCTCAAAATATGTTTTTATTATATTAGAGAAATTAGTAATAATTCTCAATATATGTATATAATATAAGGAAAAAGAATTGAAAAGATTAATTAACCTACCGAAGGGGCTTCCACCAACATTATACGAAGAGGGGAGGGGGTGTCCTTAGAGATATTAGTGGTACCAATAAAAGCACAAATTAGAGAAACATGAGTCCAATAATTTAAAACATCAATCTGGGTTGCTAAGAATAATGGAGGAAAAAGAAAATCATCCAAGTTTGGGGTAATACAAAATCATCAATAAAAGAGTCAAGCTTTTAAAATAGAAATTCACAGATCTCAAATACCATAACCATACATAAGAAAAAACATCATTGATTATAAGTTTAATAAGATTTTAAAATAAATATTATACTAATAATAAATATTACTATAACAACAATTAAAAAATAACACTTTCAATTAAACCAATCAATTATTTATCATAAAAAGTAACTCATTTATAGTTTATAAATTTGTTCAATAATAATTTGAAGGAGTAAATTAAAAAAAAAGTCACTTTTCTAAATTAGAATACCAATTTCTTAGAATTTTTTTTATAACTTTATGTTAAATTCCTTAATGCTACGTTGATCTTTTATTAGATTAAAAAGTTAAAGTGACATGGACTTTTTTAATAAGACTAAATAAACTCATATGGTCTAAGCACTTCAATCTAAACCGTAAACTCCATTCATAATTTCGTGGTGAGTTTTAATATTTTTAAGAGTACAATAAAACATATTTTCAATATGAAATATTTTTATTGTTGGATGATAAAATCATCATGATTCTTAAATTAATAATGTTGGAAATTAGAGAGAGAAAATAGATAGAATATTTAATATAAATAAATTTAACATTATTCAATTAATATATATATATATATATATATATATTATTAATTAACTCAAAAAAATGATTGTTCTATATGAGTTTTTATCTATAAGAATAGTCAAACAAATCAATTTGTTTTCTTTAGTGCACTCCCTTTTTAACCCATAAAAGATAGGTGGAACGAACGTTATAATTTAGTCTATCTCATCGTTAATATTAGCCGATCAGTCTCCTAATATTTTTTATATATATTTTGTTTTAAATATATTTTTAATTATATGAATAATTTTTAATTTTTTATTTATTATTAATATTTTTATTAGATAAATTTAAAAAAATACTATATATATATATATATATTAAAATAACTAATTTTAATCAATAATTTAAACTTAGTTGGTTAATATTTATAATTTAAATTATAAAATTATAGTATATTTACATATTTTAATAATATGATAAAAAAATATAATATTTTTAATTATAATTTTTTATTTTAATTTTAATATATAATTTTTGTTAAGTAGGATTGTCCCCACAAACACCCCACTTTTAACTTGTCGGGTTGGTGGATTAGGCGAAACGAATCAAAACGAACTAATAAATTAAAACTATCAACTTGTATTGTCATTTTTAAGGCGGACTAGCAAATTGACCTATCAAACTTAATATATTTTCGCATCTCCTTTTATCAACATTATATTATATGAATTTACATTTCTAACTAGATTTTAGATCTCTATATGTCAATTTACCATCAATACTCTCTAACAAAGAATTTATACTTGAATAAAAGTCAACTACACAAGTAAATTTAACGTAAAATCTTATTCAAGTATAGTGATAAATTTTATAATTTTATTTAATATTAAATTTCATATCTTGTTTATACTCTAATAAATAATTGTAGATTCAGCAAATTATTATACATAATATTTGATGATTAATTTATAAAACATAACCAAACCATTTTAAAAAACTTCAAGAAAAAACATATTTAGATTATCAAAATATGGAAATAGAAGAAGTTATTGTTTCTCTTGTGTTTGCTTTGATTCTGATTCCAAATTATAAAGCTTAAAACATGAAGTTATACACATTGAAAAGTATATAAAATAATTATGACCCAAATCCATGTATTACTTGATAATGATTGAATTAAACTTGATAATAGACTAGATTCAACATAATATAACATTTGAAGGAAAAATAAAAGTACGATGAAGACACCTTTATGAAAGTGATTCTTATTTGCTAACATTCTTCATTTATCGAATTATTTATCAAAAATTAAGAATATAAATTAAGATGATAAATCATGTAATAATGATAATTAGCTTTTATATATTTGTTATGTATAATTTTATAAATGAATAGAAAATTTTAGCTTGAAAAGAATATTGAGAATTAAGAACTTGAAGAAAAAAAAATTAAAGGAGGAAAGTCGAACGAAGAGATTAAAAGTTAGAAGAGAATTAAAATAAAATTTACCATATCAATAGAAAGAGAAAAGAAAAGTCGAAGAAAAAAGGAAGGGAGCTGCAAAATCGATTGAAAGACACTATGACGAAAAAAGATCAAGGAATTAGAAGATCGAGAGGAAGAAAATAAAATGGTAAGAGAGGATAAAAAAAAGATAATCAAGAAAAGATTGATATCAAAAAGTGAGTTGTAAGGAATCAAGAGAAATACAGAATGGATGGTTATAACTCCAAGACGTGACAGAGGTGGCTACAAACGCTAAGTATGATAATAAAACTACTCAAAAAGGAGGGAAACGATTAATAGGGAAAAATTGTTTTTATTTTATTTTGAGAAGTTACAAAGAATAATAAGTATAAATGAGATCAAGTAAGTGGGAATAAGGGTGATGATAAATTGTATTAAGATACTTACATTTTGAAAAATACTATGAACATAAAAAATGTTATTTCAATGAAGTTCTTTATAGTTTGAGTCACCGTTTTTATTGATTTCTTATACTAGTTTCTCATTTATCCATGGTAATTTACATTTCTTGCAACTTATGTTTCTTGTCATTTATATTTCTTGTCATTCATATTCCCAATCATTTATCTTTCCTTGTAATTAATGTTTCTCTATTTTAGTTTTTGCACGTTTATTATTTTTGGTTAATTTTAATGAAGTATCATTAAGTATCCAGGTAATGTATAAAATAATACTAAAAATTTGAATTTATAATCAAGAAAATTTTATAAGCGTCTTTATCAAATTAATATGGGAAAGATACATGATTAAGATTGACTTCATATTAATTGTTAAGTAAAACATTGATCAATGTATTCTCTTAATTGAAAAGTTTTTACTTGCTAGTCTAAACAAAAAATATCCACAAGTGATAAATGATTGGCATCGAAAGTATTAGTTGGGGGTAAACTTGATATATTCATTGAATGCTTCGAACCATTATATGGAGAACAGGTGCATCAAACATATTAGCTGGGGGTAAACAAGTGAATCGAGAGTACAAATTCTTAAATTCAAATTTACTTAACTATTTAAAAAAAATTTATGTTAATCTCCAAGTTCGATGACATTATTTTTTAATACATACCTCGAAAATATAATCATGAAGCCAATAAGTTAGCACAAATAACTTCAAAATATAAAATTTCAAATCAGACTTCTAAAAAGTTGATAGAAGTTAAGGAAAAATTGTCGAAAGAAATTGAAATACTTCAAGTAAATTAATTAAGTAACCGTGATTTGAGATTGTCAATACTTGAATATTTAAATAATCACAGTAAGCTTGTTGATAAGAAAACAATGTATCTATCTAAAAGTTGTGTTGTATTGAATAAGAAATTATATAAAAAAGGTGTAGATGGGATATTATTTCGATA